CATTCTCTGTAAACCCTAGACATGGTTGTCTGTGAAAATCCCAGTAGATCAGCAGTTTTTGAAATACTCAGACCAGCCCATCAGGCACCAACAACCATGCCATGTTCAAAGTCATTTAAGTCCCCTTTCTTCCACATTCTGATGCTCAATTTGAAACTCAGAAAGTCGTCTTCACCATGTCTAGATGCCTAAATGCATTGAGTTTCTGCCATGTGATTGGCTGATTAGCAATTTGTGTTACCAAGCAATTGAACTGGTGCACCTAATAAAGAGTGTATATCAAAGGACATATAACATAAGTGTTCTTTTTCCATGTTCTGCTTTAAGACTGGAGTTTGCCTACCTCTTCTACTAAAGGAATTGCTCTGTACTTGGAACACAGACAAACGTGGAACATTGGTTGTACACAACCAATGCCAGATCAGAAGATACAGAGTAGGAAAGATTTAATGATCACTCCACTTAGATATTAGTACATTCCTAGTCAATCCAGTATAGCTACACAAAGAGAATCCATTACATGGGCACCTTACACATTAGACCGATGTTCTATGCACTGTAAAAGAGGTTGTGCTGTATGTTAGTGATATGAATATGCAATAAATAAAATATATGGACAAATAGTGACACACTAATGTCACCTTGCAGTTTATCTGTACAAAACAGAAATTACACTTTTATAGATGACAGCCATCCTTTAACAGAGATGTAGGGTTCTGAAACACTCATGTAATTTTCTACAAAGTCTACTTTTTATAGCAAATACAATCACCTGGGTTGCATTAACAGCCTGGAATTAAACCTCATTTTGGATCAATGATCTAATTCAGGCCAGGTTATTGCATATGGAAAACTAATGAGAAAAGCATAACTATTTATTAATGTACTGTGAAAAGGACCAGGTTTGGCAGTCCATGGGCTAATTAATTTAACAAAGAACATTATCCTTTTAATGAAAAAATATCCATGGCAGCTGTATTATAGCCCTGAAACAGTAAATCTGTAAGAAAGTTTAAAGCAGTTGTGACTCTCTGAAATGAAAAATTAACAAAGTATATACTCAATAGGGTGTAGTTGCCTCAGTCCATAGCACCTAGTGTGAATATTGTCCACTTTTTTTTAAATCAATGGACTTTCCCAATGAAAACCACATTCACTGTCAGAAATTTGTTCATTCACATAAAGGTTTCCATCCTGCTCCTTTGAATTTTCCCGAAAACAAATCTCAATTTGACCCCACTAATAATTATAAAATCAAACATATATTCTGAAAACAAAAAATGTAATGCTGCTACTGACTTCAGTAGGATTACATAATTAAGTCCTAAAATAAATGGGTTTATTTTGATTTAGTAGGTGAACAGATTTGGTTGTTTTTTACTAGTTAGCAGAGCCGTATCTCAAGGAATTTTGGAGTTTTGTTTTATTGGAATAGCCAGTCTAGTTAGACAAAAACTGACCAGTTTGTAGGCTTTTTATTGCTTTAAAGTGGTTCTAAATCGCAGACATGAAATATGAACAAAACATATCCCTCTATAGTGTGTACTTGTGTCAATCCAGAGTATTAAGTATAATTTGTTTCCTTGTTCCTCTGCTATCTACATGAGTCAATTCTGGCAAGTTTTCCTGACACCTAGAGACAAAAGGTAACAGGGGAAGGACCTCCACCACACAGTCTGTGGTTGACAGCTTCAGGTCTCTTCTAGTGTGCTGTGTGGAGGGGGTGGGTCCCTTTCCTCCAATCAACTCTCAGAGCTCTCCTCACTGAGGTATGCAGAGTGTAACTTCAGCTCTCCACCCTTTGTTTTCTGGAAGCTCAGACAAGCTTTATAAATTATGGACTTTGAACAGATGCAGAAAAGAGAGTGTTGCAGATACACATGTACAACTTACTAGGAGGATTTGTTTTTATCTGTATATTACCTGAGGCTAGTCACTTCACTGGGCATATGTAAGGGTTTACAACCACTTTAAGAAGGAAGCTACACAAACAAATGAAAACATAAAATCATGCAAGCAGTGTCTTAGATAAGAACTGATCTATTGATGCCAGTTCTGCAAGGCATCACTGTACTGACCACAGTACTGACAGTGGACCTTTCATCCAAAAGAGCTTCCTGTGTGTTCAGCAACTAAGAAAATAGCTAGTACACAATTTAAAGGGGTTCCCCACTATACATTAGCTGACTCTACCCAACCTATTCCATTCAAGAATAGGTAGCTGGATCTCAAATTCCTCGATTACACATACACAATGACAAACTCCTCATTCTGCTGTTTACATAGCTACATAAGGTTGACTAAAGACACCATTCCATCCAATTCAACCTGGGTGTGTGTTTATGTCCCTACCATTTCCAATATCCTTGTATATTGTGTTCACTAAAATGCTCATCTAAGTTTTTTTAAATTATCGACACTTCCCGCTGTGAAAGGGTTCCACATCCTTACCACTCTGACAGTAAAGAACCCTTTGCACAGTTTAAGGTAAAACCATTTCTCATCCAACTTCATTTATTGGCTGCGTGTCTTTCTAAGGAACCTGAGATTGAATAATTTTCTCCCTATGCTAGGATCACAATTTGGATATTTGTTTATTGAGTTCATATCTCCTCTTCAGTTCTTCTTCTCCAGGAAGAATAAGTTTAATGTTTGTAGTCATTCCTCATAACTGAGGTTCTCCACCCCCGTATTAGTTTTGTTGCTCTTCTCTGGACTTTCTCCAGATCCAGCATATCCGTCTTGAGGATTGTTGACCAGAACTGGACGGCATATTCAAGATGTGACCAAACCAAAGTTTTGGAAAGTGGTGGAATTACAGTCTTACCTCTGGAGTACATACTATACCTTTTAATGCATACTAACAGTCTGCAAGCTTTGCTTATTGCAGCTGGACACTGCATGCTATTGTTGAGTCTGTCATCTACTTAGACCCTCATACCTTTTTCCATCCTAGATTCTCCCAGTGATTCTCCCCTTAGCTATTAACTTTTTTATTTTTAGCCCCCAAGTACATTACTTTGCAATTTTCAGCAGTAAACCTAATTTCCCATGTACAGTAGTTGCCCCTCGCTTTGTTTTATCGAGGTCTTCCTGTAAAGTTTCTATTTCTTGCTGTGAAGGTATAGCCCTGCTTGGCTTTGTCCTGTCAGCAAAACACTGAGATTGAACGATTTATATACCGACCTCAATATCATTTATGAACAAATTAAACAGAATTGGTCCCAGGACAGAGCGTTGGGGTACCTCACTTACAACTCCAGACCATTCAGAAGATATGCTGTTTATCACCACCAACTGGATGCACTCTGGTAACCAGTTTTCTATTCAAGTACATACATTATTGTCAATGTTAACAGACCTCAATTTGTAAATTCAGCGTTTATGGGGAACTGGACTGAATGCTTTGGCAAAATCCAGATACACCACATCCACAGGCCTGCCTCTATAGAATGTTAGCAGGTTGGTCTGGCAAGAACAATCTTTCATAAATCCATGTTGGTTACTACTAATGTTGCTGTTTTCATAAGCAGATTCTTGGATATGGCTCCTTATCCTCCACTAGATTACATACTATTGATGTTAAGCTGACTGACCTGTAGTTCCCAGGTATATATAGGTTGAATATTTGTACATTAGCTTTTCAATACCATCCAGTTACTAAGCTGTCCTTAAAAATTAGCAATAAGCTGGTTAAGTTCTTCGAGCGTTCTCTGGTGTAAGCCATCTGGTCCTGGTGATTTATTCACATTAGGTTTTTCAATTCTTTTTTGGACACTGGCTTCTGTTAGCCACAAGGGTATGTTCTGTGCAGTGTTACTAGCAATACAGTATTGTTTATTATAACCCTCCTTTTCAACTGTAAAAACTGAGGAGAAGAATGTATTTATTACAGTTGCCTTCTCCTTGTCACTTGCAACCAACTTCCCAAGTATCCTTTATGGGACCATCCTCATCCTCATATCTGAATAGAGGAGCCACTTTCCCAGTTTCACCAATTGAAATCTTTCATAAGGCCTGGACATACGAAATTGAAGCGTAAAGTTAGGAGCCAGCAACATTCCAACTCTGAACTGACATTTGCAGTTCTCATCCCTGACAAAAGCCCTAAATACAGTCCCCTTCCTTAAACAATCACATATACAGTCCAACTGCAACACTCTCCACCACATCAGTCAAATAAATAGTACCCCTTCTCCTCACAGTGGCCATATACACATTAACCCCCCTCCCAGCTATCATACTTGACTTTTGTGGGCTTTGTTGGTGGTATACCACCTTGCCATGGCTGAGCAGTAACCATAAATCACAAAGCTCCCTCTTGCAGGCTTTTCAAATTTAATGGCAGTGGAATGGGACCAAACATCCCCTGAGCTCTGTGTTTTATGGCACATCAGGATGGCTAACAGAGATTCAGTTCCAGTTTAAAATGGAAAGTTCCTTTAACTGTAAGGAAAATATCTTATCATGGTAACACAATCACTAAGAGGAGTATTAATACAACATTTGTATCACTGTTCATCCAACAAAACTGCTTGAACAATTCATTCATCAAGAATGGGGGAGCATCATATGTTCTCAGGCTAAATTACCTGCAGAATGAATGTTCATTGCAAAAAAGTGCAAGTGGAGAAAATACTGCATTAGAGCCACTAGATGGAGCTGAGAAGCATACTTATTTCCTATAACACACAGCACCCTCTAGTGGCCATAATGCGGTATTTTGCCTATTCAGAAAGCATATACATGCCATTTCAAATGAAAAGCTATGTGAATCTTTTATAAATACATCCCCGACTGTCTCTTGCAGGGATTGTGAAGAACATTAGTAGAGATTCCACAGAAAACAGCTAAATTATGAAAACAGTCAGAATTAAAAAAAAAAATAAATAAGTTTTACCAATAGTGATCTAAATCCTGAAATTATCACCATGCCATAATGGTAGTTCCAGAATTCTGTATTACCTTGAAGAAATGCAGAGAATTGAATGAATAGCCTCACCTGTTCGGTAGACAAAGTTGCCTTCAGTTTCCGATGATGAGGGAGACACGAGCTCTTCCTCAAACTCATTGGAACTAAATGACCCTGAGTGGTTTCTCTGCCTCGTCTTTTCTCTCATGGCAGCATTAGTGGCCATGACATGTCGTAAGGAGTCATTGAGATAGCGATGCAATAAACTGCTCTTGTATTTCGGAGGGGACACATAGTCTTCATTTGTACTAGCTTCTGCTCTTATCCCTGACTTGATGACTGAGCTCTCATTGTTTATCACAGTATGGTGGATGGGTTTGTCGTAGCTTTCTTCATTAGCGTGACTCCTAGGAACATTGTCTCCATCTGTAGAACAACAAAACCAAGTGTTACTGTGTCCATCTATACTAATTCTTCAGTTACCACTAAAAACAGGAAACGGAGTATAAATTCATTGAAAAACACTTGTATGCTATGTATGCTATGTTCACCCAATGAAATAATGAAGATTTGAAAAAGTGGGATCTAATCTGTTACTAGGGATGGACAGAAATTCCCACCGGGACCTTGACAAAAAGTAAAATGCCCTCAAAGGATCTAATCTTGGTTTATTCTACCCAAGACTTTAAGAACTAGAAACAATTACGGACCCCCTAATCTGTAGTAAAGCTTGCACCTTTATTAAAAAGTTGAGACACACATCACTAACTATCTCACATAAAAGCAGATGTCCACCTAATACTGCTTTTTTCACATTTCAGCTTCAGATATCAGCTAACTGAAATTTTAGAATGCTGGCACCTTTAGTTCCTAACTGTTATATCCATTATTACTGTAGAATTTGGGTGTATCTACTTTTGGCTCAGATCACAAAGTCTGCAATGGCTAGCTTAGTCTTCCAGAATATACATAAAACACAGTCTACAGCAGGGCTTAAAATTTCAGGTCCTGAGCTACATGCCAGGCCTTAGAGTTACTCGCCACCAACAAACACACACAGAGACACCTGTACACACACACAGACACATGTACACACAGACACATGTACGTACAAACACACACACACACATGCACACACAGACACATGTACACACACACAGACACATGTACACACACACATACATGTACATACATGCAGACACATGTACAGATACACACATGTACATACACACAGACACATATACAATTGTACATGCATACACAGACACACACAAACACACACATGTACACGTACACACACACCATAAAAAGTTGCAGTACTTCGTTGTTCACTCCTAGATCCGGGTACTGCACTCCAGGGGGAGGCAGAGAGCACAGCACACACTCCTTCCTTTGCTTTCATAGCGCTCAGCTATTGAGCAGTCTGACGGCTCCCAGTGACAATGACAGATCTGGCCTGAGCTCCGAGCCTGCTCAGCAAGACAGCCCTGGGGGACACACTCGCCCCCACCATAAGTTCCACTCCCCATTGGCGAGCACGCAAGTGGAAATTTCAAGCCCTGGTCTACAGTGTTGCAATAGTAATAAAGAGGGAAGATTTTTCTTTGCAGATTAAAACTGAAAAGCATTTCAAGAAATATTTTCACTTCTAAGCTGTCCATGGATTACTCAGTTTTTTTCAATCAACTGGCAGGCTGATAAAAAAAAAACTGAACGAATTGCCCGACCCACAAAAAATAGATTGTTGCTGAAATTCTCCCTGCTGTGCTATTGTATTCTGACAGCGGGACTCCTCCTCTGTCAGAATACACTGATCAGTGCTGCAGCCTACTGACTGCAGCACTGACTGAGGAAAATTTTCCAACAATGAAACAGCCATGGATATGCTGAAAATTTAGATCCATCTATATGACCAGAATTTACAAGTGATAACAGGTCATATGAAATGGTTCAAAGAAATTAGTACCTGGATTAGTCTCATTATGCCTGCAAGTCTAGTACTCCTGAAATTGGTCAAATACGTTATGTTTTGTAAAGGGACTGCAATGTTTTTCTATAAAATTACTTGTATGGAAGTAAATACTTTTACTTCCCTGCTGTCTACTTTAATTAAAATTTTTTTAAAAAAATGAAAACCATAAAAAAACACTATGGAATTTATTCAATAACATCAATCAATCAGAATTTGTCATATACTAGGTAGCCAACATTTAATTTTGATTAGCTACTATGTACTTAGGGCTTAGTACTTAAGAAATAAAACAGGCTTTTAGCAATATATATATATATATATATATGTGTGTGTGTGTGTGTTTGTTGTACCATTCTTTTTTTACAAAGTAAAGTTTTCCTTAAAGTAAACCTTTAGGGGTAACAGGAGTGATAAAGTGAGGCCTATAAACTTGTGCTTTATTCTTCTGATTGATCTCTGTGTTCCTCTAGGGACCCTTTTATTCTAGGCGCAGGCCTCTTTCCAAGCAAAGATTAAACTCCACCCCTCCCAATTTTAAACCCCACCTCCATACTTCAACTGTCAAATGCCAGAGTCTCTACAGTTCACTGATGTTCTGGCATTTGACAGCTAAATGACAAGGTCTTCTGCATAGCCTGTGCTTAGGATCCAAGGGGCTTTATGGAGACACAGAGATGGATTTGAAGTCTGGTACTTGCATGAACCACAAGGTGCCTACACTTCAAATACATTGTTACTTTAGGCATTTTTTTTTTGTCACGACAGGTGCACTTTAAAGATTGCTCACAGTAGGTGCAGTGGAATCTTCTTTAATATCCGATGTGGTTTATTTTCTTTTTCTCCCTCCTAACACTCTTCCTCAATGAACACGAGAGCTTGCAGGCGATGAACAGTGAATCCCGTCAGTTTATTTTTGTAAACTGAGTGTAAAGGGGAAGAACGGGTCACGCGTTTAAGAGGAACTGGATTGTCGGAATAGGCACCATAAATAAACATATGCATTTCAAACATGGTAAGATCGTGCCCCTTCATTTCTCTTACCCAATTTATTGTTTTCTTGTGTTTCAACCTTTTTTATTAATTTATTTTTACAGGAATAATTCCTTTTTTAGTAAAGATTAAACAGATTGTATGGGCTGCCACTTTAACTACGGCATGGAAGGAATTAGGTATCAAGTTTTTTCTTTTGTATTGACTTCAAGATCCTCACATTTATACTACTGCTGTTCTGCCTCAACGCACCCAAATAATATTCAATGTTGGAATGAATGTACTTTACCAAAAGAAAACCACAAACACTGTTAGAAATTTGTTGGTTTCCCCCTCCCTTCCCTGGATGTTCCACTATAAAAAATTGCAAAAACTAAGACCGCACATGAAGTGTTTCATTTTAGCCATGTTAAGACTAATATTCTCTGGTATTTCCACAATTGTAAGACTGACAAATGCATTCTTATGATTCAATGTGACTAATGAAACCAGATACCTACATACATGTTGTTTTTTTAATACTAGATTTGTGTATATATGATGTGCCTTAAACATACTATACCTTTACCAGGTACGTTTTTCAATAAAAAAAGAATTAAAGAAGAAAAAGTTTTAGCTCAAGAAAAATATTCTATCCTGCTCCTCCTTCTTTTGTCATTTTGGTCGAAAACGAATGTTGATTTTACCCAACTAACGATTAGGAAATCTATTGAAGGTTCTTAAAATGAAAAAATTTGGAACAAAATTCTACCAGTGTGCAAACTGGTTAAGCTATCTTAGTATTGGAAGCCTGGTCCCCTTTTCTGCTCTGTGGGAGTGTTGTGGCTGAAGCATTTTTTTTTAGCAATGCTTGGGTCTTCAAACAAGCAGATTGTGAATTTTATTTTTTTTCTAAATAGAAACAACAGTTAGTTTAAATATTTAAATAGAGAACAGTTGCTGCAACTCCTCCAGTATCCATGGCTATAGCTTGTCCGAACCTCTGTCATTCACTTTCTGGACAGCTTGGCCTGCATGCGAATAAGAGGATAAGTTGTAAAGAAGCTTTTTTTCTCAGACAGAATTCCCTATGGGTATCCAAATAGTAAACTGATAATCATCAAAGGACGTCTCTGCTAAAAAAAAATTGTGGTGGTACCATTGCCTACCTCCCCTTCCGAAAATACTGTTTTTTCCAGTTGTTATGCAGATCCAGTACTTTCTGGATCACTGAAATACAGCAAGCATTAATAGTCGGAAGTCATGACTTCACATTTTAAAAATGACATTTCATTAAAGGGACAGTGCCATTCAAATTATTAATTGGACTTTACCTATCTTCGCGTGTCATGAAAACATGGTTGACGTTCTGATGTTCTCACTGGCCATTCAGCTGCCACCTTTTACAAGTGACGGTGGGGGTGCAGGCATGCAGGATAAGCAACTCCAATGTTCAACAGGAAGCATGGGCGCTTTTTACTGCATGGCTTAGTGTAGTAATTCTAAAGGTAACTTCAGTACAAACACAAGAGAGAGAGAGAGATGGTGCTGCAGTCAAAAAGCCAATGTCAGATGGAAGCAGACAAGTGGATGCAAGACTGTCAGCCGCACAACTGTTGTAACTTGAATCCATATAATCTGATCTGCACACCAGAAAGCTGCAGTTAAAGTTTTTCTTTAGATCATTCACAGAGATAAAAGTCTAACAAACAAGTTAATGAGTTTCATCCCAACAGGGCCCTAGTCAAAACTGTGGATGGTCTAATAAAGGAAAATTTGACTGTAACTTTTTGGTGTGCCAATCAACGTACATGAACTTCAGTAAGAAGTCTCTCCACTTCCACCCTACAACTGACCTCACCTATCTATGAACTGCATGAACAAAGTGCCCAAGACACAATATAAAGGTAGATGAACAAACCTTCAGAGCAGGAGTCTTCACTGCTGATACTTAACCGCTCAGCATTCCCTTGTACATATTTGTTATATAGCTTTATCCGCAATGCCCAGCTCAGATCTGGTTGTCTCACAGTGTTTTTGAGGCGACGTCTTGCATTTGCAAACCAGTTTGACACCTGAAAATTAGAAAATAATTTTATCTTATTATATTGCTTCCAGTTTATCAGTAAGTACTGTAAAAAGTGATCGATCACATGTGTACATTGATTGCAAATAAACAAAAACCATAATCTTAGCGACCAACTTAATGGTTTCTCCATAGCATTTTCTCCTGGCTAACAGAATCTGTCCAGCCATAAAAATAATAATAAAAATATTATTTATAATAATAATATTATTGAAATATCTTTACTGAAATTAAGGATAATTGCTTTAAAATAAAGGAAAGACAAAAATACAGCATTCATAAACATGGTTTGAAAAAAACTAATGTGTAGTTGCTGTACAATATATTCGTTTTCAGTACGAAAAACCATGTGCTATTAGTTCTTAGCTTTGGACACGTGGCACCAAAAACAAGTAAAAATTGAGTATTTGGCCACATGTCCCTGACTCCTGAACTTAAAGTGAACCTTTACATTGTCCATGGCTTAGCAACAGCTTCAGTTAAAGTGGAATTACAGTCTGTTGTACCTTCCCCCCTGCCATGTGACATCTGGGAGCTCCCATGCCACCAATAACCTCTTCATCCAGTCTTATTTCAGGTTAGGCATCCTTGACCTTCTTGACTGGCCAGCCCAGGATAATGTAACTTCTGTACATGCACACACATCCCAGCATCAAGTCATGCCATGGCCTGCACATACAGAGCTTCTTCTGCAAAAAAAAAGCCTACTGCCAGCAATTGTTCTCAGGCGATAGCTTTACCTTAGCCCCCCCCCCCCTCTACTCACAGTTCCTATGCTCCCCCACCACTCCATTCAAGCACCTGGTACTTCTGAGCATGGAGTAACATGTGTCTCATTTCCCCTCCTCCCATGTGATAGCGCTGGCGCTTGGTGATTGACCAAGCACTATCACATGGGGAAAAGTCCATAACTAGGTTAACTGATATCTGAAGCTGTTAGAAGAAAATGTAGTTCTTGGAAAGAATGCTAACCACTCACCCCAAGAGCTCAGCACACACACTGTACAGAGATTTGTAACAGTAGCATAAGAAATATAATATTTATTATTATTATAATACAGAATTTATATAGTGCCAACATCTTGTGCAGCACTTTATAACATGAGGGCGGACAGTACAGTTACAATACAATTTAATATTTGTAAAATCAAAGGGCCCTTCTCGTCAGAGCTTACAATCTAAAAGATTATTATTGCTACAACAATACAAGGACTTGTATATATTATATATATTACTACTAGCAGTATGTGTAGCAGCCTATACTGAATATAATTTTAGGTCTAGGTCTTGTGCACTTAGCAGGTCTTAATACAAGTGAATGTGTTACAAGAATACTTATCAGTTCCTTTAAACTGGGTCCAGTCAAAGAAAGTGCTAAATTCTACCAACAGCAGGAAAACCCCTAAAAATCTCAGCCTTGTCCTGGCCCGCATGCTGGTTTCCATATATTCCTGTTTCCGCTACATCTGTATCTAGTCTGGATGTTTTACACCATATTGATTAAATTAGGTTTGGATTTACAAAGCCAATAAATTGTGCCTTAAAACATTCACTTAGTAGCGACATCTTCTCGGCTCTAAGTCCCAGTACAAAAGAGTTGTCAGGAAAAGTAACTAATTCTGCATGACATGGACTGTCTTATAAGGACCTATATGTTAAATAAGAGTTAAAGAGACCATGTTGTCAGACCACTCATATCAACAAAAATATTCCAATAAAATTATATGTGCATTTAATGTATTCTAAGCATGTCGTTTATAGTTATCATCAATATACAGTATCATTTCATTACGTTTTTGAATTCAAGCAATCCAAGCATCTGAATCCCTGTACAGCAGAGCTCGGAATGGGAGAGACAGAAGCAACACAAGAAGCCAGTCAGCTGTGCTGCAATGAAAGAACATTCTGATAGGAATAGAGAACAGAGTTACAGGGAGAGGAGCTCATCGGCTGCTTCCCTTTCACTGTTGGGACATGGTGTGTTACTGGGTTGATGCTTGTGTTATTAATATACAGGATTTATATAGCGCCAACAGTTTGTTCAGCGATTTACAATATAAAGGGAGACAATACAGCAACAATACAGTTCAATACAAGAGGGTTAGGAGGGCCCTGCTCCTTGGAGCTTACAATCTAAGAGGAAGGGGCTGGTGGTACAAAAGGTAATAACTGCGGGGGATGGACTGGTAGACGCAACAGAAGATTCCATTATTAGCTGAGGGCAGGATAGGCTTCCCTGAAGAGATAGACTTTCAGAGATGGCCTAAAAGCCGGCACAGTAGGCGATAGTCTGATAGATTGGGGAAGAGAGTTCCAGAGGATGGGGGAGGCTCTGAAGATGAGCATTGGAGGAGGAGACCAGGGAGCTAGAGAGCAGGAGGTTGTGCCAGGAGCGGAGAGACGATTTGGGTGTTATTTGGAGACAAGATTGGTGATGTCATTTGGGGCAGAGTTATAAATGGTTTTATATGTGATTGTTAATGTATTAAATGTTATTTGTTGGGCAATGGGAAGCCAGTGGAGGGATTTCCAGAGAGGGATGGCAGATATAGAACGGTTAGTAAGGTGGATGGATTGTGTTACTGAAGTACAGCAGTGGCAAAATCCTCCTGTGCCAGGCATTGCAAATCTCACAACTGGATGGACAGACATACCACGTCGGTAGGTAAAACTGCTCACTTATATATATTGAATTTGTAAATTTAGCTGTTTGCCTTGATTTAAAGGAGAGTGCCAACACAGACATTGATACATTTCCACCAAAGGAAGACAATCCATTAGCTAGAACTAGTTAAAGTATATGTAAACCCTCACCTCAGTTTAAAACAGAATTGAAATACAATATGTATGTATATATAAATATATCTCAATTATAAATTACTTTTTTTTTTCTTTTTTAATGATCACAAACCCTTTGTTCTCAGCTGCATAAAGGGCATAGAGAGCTAGGGGTGGAGAAGCAGCAGTACACTTATCTTCCCAATGAATAGCTGCGCATGTCAGAAAAAGTATGATCACTGGAGGACAGGCAGGTTGTGCTCTCAAGCCTAGTGTGGTCAGTCTGAAATAAGAAAGCAGGGGGACTGGCAGGAACACTGGGTATTTCACACACAGGGAGCAATACAAAGAACAGGATACTTTTAACACAAGTACATGGTACAGCAGTCACATATCAGGAATATGAAATATTGCGGTAACATATTCTTTAGAATACGAGATTGCCCAGGGGCTTACTGGGTTACATGGATTGCAGAAATGGTGCAGGGCTTCATTACTGTACTGAATACGATAGTGTTTGCTCACTACTCTGCATCCACAAAACACAGCAGCAGTGTTGAGTCTCACACAGGCTTTTGTTTTCTTGCTAAAGGCTTTCTATACTATGGGACATGTTTATTCCAAAAAATCCATCCACAAAAAAATAAAAAGCAAACATAAAATAATGTTCACACGGTAATGTGTTACTAAATTCTATTATATTTATTTATTTATATTTAATTTTAATAGAGAGCGTACCGTTGCACATTATACTGGTTACATTGTTAAAATAGATCAGGAGCACACATAATAAATGTAAAGGATCTCAGGATGCCCACCTCTTTGAAGTCAGAAAGGATGCTTAAGAGAAGCCATATATTGAAATCTAGTATTACTTTTCACAAATGTTTACAGTGCAGCTACATTGTCCCTGTACACTTTACATTGTGGAGTTCCATGTGGTGCCAGGATTGAGCTGATACTTCAGAGTAAGCCACATCAGAGCCACATCCGTAACAGGTAAATGTGGCATGTATAGTATAAACTAGTCCTAACAGGAAACCGAAGGAGAAGCCAAGACATCACCGCCACCTACTCCCTGCTCCATCTTTTAAGGTCATATGAAATAGCTTGCTTTTGAAATGGAACAAAAGAGAATGTTCTGGTAAAGGCGGAGAAGGAACAGAAAACGTAGTTGTATAAACAGTGTTTATTGTGTTGCTATATAAAACAGAACCAAGCTAGATTACTTGCCCACAACAACAAAAGCACCTCCCACAAGGACCAATCAAAAACACAAAGATTTTGTTTTTACTACTTGCTAAGTCCCCGTGATATATGAAGTGCTCCACCTCTCTGGGTGGTTGAGGATAACCCTCAGATGGTGTGGCAAGCTAACATTTAACTCCCAGGGCAGAATTCTTGGCTTATTGTTGGCCAGAAGAAAGTTGGGCACCAGTCACTTTAATCTTTTACGATTTTATTTGCTCACTAAAGTCTGTAGAGAGGATTAGGGACACAGGATACCCAAACAATCGACCAAATATAGCTCAGGTCATCTAGTAGCAGTTAATGTTGCAATTGGCCCTTTAACAGTATGTAGGCAGTGCAGTCATTTTTCTCTACTGTAGGTAGCCTTGCCGTTAGAGAGGAAGTCAAGAGGAACATGGTTCCTCTACTTGAAAATGAAGATTAGGAAAGCCAGCTCGTCTTCCTGATTGATCGGCTGTGACTAAGACTGATTGGCAAAATGCGAAAGCTATTTTTGTGTACATCTTACTCGCTTAATAAAGTTAATCGATCTGAAAGACGAGTAGCCGGCTCTCCTAATCTTCATTTTCAAGTTGTGCTTATGTTGGTAGAACACACAAAGCCAAAGCAGCGCCAGTGCACCTATGTAGGAAATATATCTGGGCATAGCACCTTTCTTTTTATGGTTCCTTTATGGTTTCCTGGATCACTGGGGAAGCTGATTGAATGCTGCCATTCAATGTGACCCTGGCAGCCATCTTCGGTCAAGCAGAACCTATTTAAGGCCTGGCTCTCAGGCTTTGCGTGCATTTCGTGTGTGGGTAGGGTAGTGTAGGGACAGGTCACCTGTCTGACAAGAACAGCGATTAGTGTCAGGGAGAGGTTCCAGACAGGTAGGGAAAGGATAGGGACCTGCCATCTTTTCTGGAGACCTCTGCATTTGGGCACGGACTGGCCAGGCCACATTCCGCCACAAAACAG